CCACACATGCAGGTCCGAGTTGAATGCGGCGAAGATCCAAATCGAGCAGTACAGAATTAAACTTCGAAAGATGTCAGAGGAAATGGAAACAGTATCAACTGAAAGGGATAACGCCGCACATCTCATGGTGGAATTCCAGAAACTAGATCAGGCAAGTTACCTGTGACCTTTCAAAGCCGGCATACCATTCTACTAGCGCGATTGTCGTATGCTGCACTTTGTCATACACTGAAGTTTGCATTGTTTAGGAGTCTCAAGAAGAGATCAAGAAGGCTAATACCGTAATCGATGAACTTGAACGAAAGCTGCAGGATGCTAATGCCAATTTGGAGAAGTTGTTCTTAAGATATTCTTTACCCTGCCTTTTTACAAAGTGATTCTTTAGAGAAAAGCGCGAGGTCATTTCCCTGAAGGACGAGAACGACAAGTCTTTGATCGCCATCCAATATTTGAGAAGTCAAGTGACAGATCTGGAGCAAAAAGGTAACAATTCTTTTTTATGACGTTTCTTGGAATACTGAAGCATTGCCATTCCGATCCCTGCTCCTTTAGTGGCTGAACTAGAGAGACGATGCGAAAGGCTTGCGAAAACCGAAAGGTATAATCAGAAGACCATACAGATTGTATGCGAAAGTTTCTGGGAAAGAGAGGAATTCGTTCAGCGGCTGAGGCATAGGAGTTATGAAAGGAAGGTGAGATCATCGTCCTTTTTAATCTTCACCTATCGCAACCTTAGTTCATCCTCATCTATTCAGAGGCTCATAGAGCACTTTGTGGACAAAGTCGGTGAAATCATTTCGTCTTTCAAAGGAGATAATGTCCCTGTGGATTCTATGCAAGCTACGGTATGCTACTAATTTACAACAACGCCATCAACTCTTCGGTGTCTTTGAAAGCAATTAAGTTATTCCAATAACATGAAAACCTTGCAGCTCAAGTCTTGGACGGCAGCTGATGTTCAAGATGACTTGGACCATGAATCTAAGGCAAGAGCATTGAGGGCTAAAGTACAGAAGTTTGGTTCGGAGGATCAACTGAATCTTGCTCAAAGGCGAATGCTGAGCCGTTTTACAGGAAAGTCTTGATGTTTGTATGCTTACTAGTTTTATTCATTTGACTCTAGTCGCTTTCATATACTGATAGATTCAGATATTTGATCGTATTGAAACACATGAAATTTAATGACATATGTACAAATGATTCGTTGAATTAGATGATACTGGTGTAGCTAAAACTACTGTAATAACTTGACGATCTCTTGTTGTTTTCGGTAATCTAATGGTACTTCATGGCATATTTATTGAATAAATTGTGCAGAATGTAAAGAGGTTCTGTAATTCACATTATCAAACAATGTCATCCATTCTGAGATGTGATCAACGACTCGTAGTAATCGATAACCATCTGAAAGATTGTAGCCTTTGAATAGTCCGTCCAGTCATGAATGAAAGTTGCATACATACAAAGTTAATGCTCAATAATAAAATAAAAACGAATTTGAAAAAATACGAAAAAAAGAGCCACTCCGAAGTATTGCACACCCGGGATCTGAACAAGGGCGGGGTCACACTGACTGTTTAGGGCTCAATGGGTACAACACTACAAAATAACGAATTAGAATTCAGACAATGGAGAGAAGCTGCGAGAACGATGATCCGCTATAGCGCAAAAAAAAGCAAAATTACCCAAATAAAGTATTAAAGTCTTCCAGTACATCTTAGATTAATCCCGAAGGACTAACAGTTTCCGCTAGATGAAGAAATTTTCGGAAAAATATACTGTTCCGAAAAGAGGATGATATCCAAATAGCCTTCTAACAGTTTTGGACCCTTTCGGTTCAAGGCCAGTCATATTGATAGAACTATTTCAGCATCATCAGGTTTCAAATAGCTTTAGAAATATGTCCCCTACCCTCCAAAAGACTGGTATCCGTACAACTTCCTTTCACAGCTTACTGTGCGATAGCCTCGTTCGCCTTCTACTAAACTACTTCGTATCAACTATCAGAAATGATGGGATGGTAGTTCCTCATGCCGCCAAGCAGGTGAGGGAGGATAAATGGGAAAACCAACGGCCGAAAAGTTATAACGTCAAGCATGACCTCCGCAGTTCAGGATGGAAATATGATCCCGCTGAATTCTAGTAATGATGATGTACCCAGTGGGGAGTCGCTCGCGAAATTAGCCAGATGTAGTGGTTTCCCCTTCGGATGTCAGGGTTGTGTTTAAGCGGTGATGCTCGAATATTACTTGATCAGAAAAGGCGCTTATTCAGTTCCTCTACAGCTGATGGTTAATCGACAACCATTCTTCGCATTTGGCATGCTACAAAAAAGAAAAAAGTGACCATGAATTTTAAGAAAAGAAAGTTTGCTCGACTTAAAGGAATCGATCTCAACAAAAGGAAAAAATACCATGACAGCGCTCCAACAGTTGACATGAAGGTCTTGAAGAGACTCAATAAACGCTTCTTTGTAACCAAATATACTAATTCAGTTCAAAAATGCAGGCTTCTGTTGACCATGACGTGTCGGTGCCAATTTGTGAAGTCTATTTTTTGCGGTTCCACATGAATTTGCCACTAATTAACCTACCCCATTTGGCCAAAACAAGATTCGGTAAAGAATTTGACCTTCGGTTCACGTATTTCAAATGACCGACATGAAATATAAAATGCAGATATAAAACAAGTGAGCCGCCTTCACAGCTACCCGCCTTAAAGATACCACATTCATAAAACTATTAGGTTGTCCGGAAAGTTCTCAGCGTTTTGAGTGTTTCACTTTAAACGATCATAACTTTCTTAATACTCATCGGATTTAATCGAAATAAGCACCGTTCGAATCAGCACACTTTTGCCAATGTGACACCAGTCGAGAAATCCCATCAAAGAAAAAAACTGGGTGGTCGAGAATCCACGAAGGCTTTTTTGCTGGTCCTGACTGATGAAGTATTTTCCAGCAAGGAGGCTCTAGAAAATGTTTGAAAAGGTGATAGTCGGTTGGGGGTCTGGAGAATATGGCGGGTGAGGTAGAACTTCAACCCCCAATTCGTTCAATTTATGGATAGTGATTTGTGAAACGTGTGGGCGGGCGTTGTCATGCAAAAGAATCGGACCCTTTCTGTTGACAAGTGCTGGCTGCAGCTGACGCAATTTTCGGTACATTTCGTCGATTTCTTCACAGTAGACTCTGCTGTGATGGTTTGGCGGTGACAAAAAGTTATAGTGGATCACACCAGCCGATGACCACCACACTGTGACCATAATCTTTTTTTCGTGAGGATTCGGCTTTGGAAATTGCCTCGGTGGTTCGTCGGCATCCAACCACTGTCCGGAACGTCTCCTGTTATCATACATGATCCACTTTTCATCACAGGTGACAATTCGGTCCAAAAACGGGTCGTTTCTGTTGCGCAAAAGCAGTGAAGAAGAAACCTCGAGACGTGCCAACCGGTCACTCAAATTGTGGGGCACCCACTTGTCGAGTTTTTTCACCTTCCCAATGCGTTTCAGACCATCCGCAACAGTGGATTTGCCAATTATAGATCATTTGTTGAATGTGCCCTGTCACGTCCACCGAATAAACGAACGCCTAGCTTTTCTGCAATCTCTCGAACTGTTTGGGATGGGTCAGCCTCCAAAATCCTTCAAATCCTCGTCAGATATTGCTTTAGGTCGACCGCTACGAGGTTCATCTTCAAGGCTGAAATCTCCAGAACGAAACCATTGTCGCACGGTGCTTTCTCCAACACTATTGGGCCCCCACACCTGGTTAATTTGTCGAGCTGTCTCGACTGCGGATTGACCCAATTTGTAGTTGAAGAAAAATATCGTCCGAAGTTGCTCTTTTGACATGCTTCAAAAAGTCTTGGGAAAAAGGGGGTTTATGGTGAAACGGCAATTATACCATCAGATAGCGCAAAAATTCTCTTCAGGATGTACTACTGAGACGCAAGGGAGAATGAGTTTTTAATCAGCAATGAATGTACAAAAAATAGTAACACAAAACGCTGAGAACTTTCCGGACAACCTAAAAAGACGAACTTTATTTTCATGAAGGTAGCAAATAGTGTGCAATTAGGTCCTTTATTGTGTGATAAGAAACCCACTAGAATCAGCATTCACCCGCTTTCCTATTCAGAATAGCCAACGCGTTTTTGGTTTCGCCCCTGTTTGATGACATAGGGAAGCAAGGTTGGTTAGTAAGAGCGAGGACTGCACCTGCGAAAGCGACGGGAGGGTTGACACACCAACTATTATTGTGATCCGATAGAAAACTTAGAATGCTGCCCACGGATTATGAAATTATTTCCCGAATTTCAAAATTATGAGCTTTTCAAAAGGCGTTTT